CAGGAATGTCGGCTAAGACAAGCCAACGTGTATTTACAAAACAATTCTCGTTACCAGCTTCTTCCTGTTACAGAGCACGCTTTTCATAAAATACTTCAGTCACTGTGCATTCGCTTACACATAATTTCACTAATCAATCACAGTACCTGAGATGAGTTTTGTGAGCGTAGTCCAAGTGTTTTGCTGTTGCAAAGAAATTTGCAGAACCTGTTTACTGTTGCACAGAATGCTGCTGTACTTTGTACCTAAGGTGCAGTTTTCCTCATAGATGAACCAGAAGCCTTGAGTCACGATTTAAAAGTGATGTTAAAGTGCTCAGACACGTGTATGGAAATCTCATATTTTAGGCCTCCATGAAGAATTACTTTGTGGATTATCTGGGTTGTTCAGCGTATCTTTCACTGACAAACCATGTGGCAGTGAACTGAATTCTTTTCCCTTTCCATTCATATGCGTTTGCAGTTGTGTGCTTGCACTTCTGTTTATTCCATTTACTTGAAACGTGCTCTGAAAAAATACTGAGTTTTTGACATAAAATCAAGCAATTTATTCTTTGGGCAGAGCATTCAAGAATGAGTGGAACCATAATCCCAACCTAACTCTCAAATTGTGCTAGTAGAGCAAATGCTATTGTGTTATGAATTATGGTTTAGCTACTTTCCTGCAAGTTTGCCTGCAGACTGTTGTAGAAGCTTTGTTTGACAGGAATGTATTACATTGTATAGTATTTCTGATATTGCAGGGCTTACTTCTGATTCGTGTTCAACACAGCTGTTCCTTCATTTATACCGCTGGAAGACAGCTTGTGGTCAAATTGGATCACAAATGTTCACATGTAAACAGCAGCATATGGTTGGCCTTTTTTTTTTTTTTTGAACATTTTTTGCTCTGTATGACAAATCGCGAGGGACTTAGCAGCACTGTAGGTGGTGTGGGAGCATGTTTATTTGTAAATACATGATAATCTGGGAGGAAAACAAAAATTTTCAGGACTTCACAAAATAATAGAAGTCACCACCAAATAATAGAAGTCAAGTGGTATCTGAGTAATGGAGTAGAAGAGAGAGCTCCCCTGCTCTCACTCTCCTTTACGCTTTTGAGAATCCACTTGTGTCTGGATATCTTCATCTGTGACTAAAAATCAGTCATCCAGGAGACAACTTAAACACATCAGGAAACTCCTCATCCTTTACTCGTTTGCCATAATAATATTTAGGCCGAAGGATCTTCATCGTGGTATTTACCCCTTTAGCAGCAGCATAACAACCGGTAGTCCCAGGATACTTAAAAAGAGAATGCTTTTCCTCCTTGGGATAAATTGTATGTGTCTACAGGTCTAGGATTCTGTTAGGACTTCTAGCGATTCGATATCATAAAGGCTTGTTTCCTCTGGGTTTATCCACTGATTTAGATACTCTGCTCAAAGAGGAACTGTTGGTAAGACTAGAGACCTAGGTCTCCACGTACATTCTTGGCATTCATAGATATAAAAATGAACTAAAGGTTAGTTCAAAATAAATATTTACCACTAAAAAATGTTACTGTAAATGAGGTATATCTAAGTTGCAGCATGCAAGAACGTGTCCGGCCATTTGCTTCTATTACTTAAAGATACAATAAGGTTATGACATGCTACGGTTTAACAAATATTTTTTTAATTATTATATTATGATTGAGCAAATTGCAAGAAAACTACTTTGGCAATAACTCATAACTTTCCAGACTCCTGTTAGTTTGCATTTAGGGTAGGTGAAGTTACAGAGATTTCACTGCTGCTATTGGTTGATGACAGCTACTGGGAATGAAAGGCATGCTCATCGTTGTGCAAAGTTATATTAGCAGCCTTTAGTAAAGACTCTGTCAAGTGTTAGATACAGATATACATGAGGGATTTTGTTTTTTTGGAGGCATCCAGTGGGCAGCAGCAGCTAACAACCCTCTTGCGCCAAGTGTTTTTTCACACACATTTCTTCTATTTTGCATCTTTTTTATATATATAAAGGATTTGAGTTAGAGTGCAAATCAGACACAGATCTCTTCTCTGTGACTAGGTAACACTATCGATATTTCCCTTTTTCGCTAGCTAGTCAAAAATAAAACTGGGGTGGGAGTTCTCTGGCTGAAGCTAAGAGCCCATAAAACAGAAGTAATGTCTTCTCAGGGAGATTCAGGGAGCAGTGCAATGAGCTGGCACAAGGACCCTTTGCTGAGCAGATCCGTGGACCTCTGTCACTCAGATCCACAGTTTGGGGGGCATGTGGATACGGGACATTTTTTGCAGTTTGCGGGAGCAAGCAAAAAAGACTTCTCCATCTGCCTGTGTGAGCATTGTTCTCTTCGTTTTATGCGAGAATGTTCTTCAGCCTCGGTGACTCCTGGGACTCCTGGAATGACTTCTTCATTCCTTTACTCAAGTGACACCTAATGATCATTTGGAAAATACAGAAACAGCAGGCTGTAGCTGCCTATTTAGCTAGAAGCTTTAAAAAGGATGTACGTTACACCTGTGCTCCAGCAAGTGCAGTAGTTTCAGGTTGATTTCTGAGCTAAATTTGAGATGTCACTCTCTTCGTTCTGTGAAGCTCCTCCTAGTGATCTTTTGTCACTGGTTCACCCTGGTAGGTAAGATCAACTGGTGTCGTGCTGCATCTGTAATTTCCAGTAGTTCACGTGGGAATTAGGGTTTATTCATGACCTGAGCTCCAATGGGGTTTCTGTTGTCTCGTGTTTATCTGAGATGAGTATATAGGGTTGAGGGGAATTACGATATGATACATAGTTCATAATCTGGGAGGGTTTTTATAGTTAAAATTAGGGCACCTTATAGTTCTACGCTTTTCCAGTGGAATGGTACCGAGCTTTTCATGGAAACTTTATATTGCATAAAGTGCTAGAGGATTTATGTTGTAATATCTATATAAATCTTCTGAAATCATGAAGTCCATCTAAGTCCTCCTAATATATATTGTTAGCTTCTCACGAATGCTTTTCTGTCGCGTTACAAAATAAGTGTATATTGCAAGAAAGGGTGAACAAAAGACCAGGATTGCGGATGTACCAGCAACGTCTCTCAACTTCTCTTTATTTCCCTATCTTAATATATAAATCTTATTGCCAATTAAGCTAACTGCATGAGAACCCATCAAAAAGCTTCAGAAGAGCTCCAGCTTCCTACATCTAATTACAAATTAGTGAATACTAACTTTGGTGTCAATCAATATATGTGCAAGTATGCCTTAGTAACACTCACTGGGGGACACAGAATATCAATGCCTCTGTCTGCTTCATAACCTGGGCTTGCTGCTGCATGTGGTCTCCCCTTCTCCTGAAAGGAGAAAATAAATAAATAAATAAATAAAAATATTTATTTCTTAAAACGACAATCATGCTAGTTTTGTGTTTTAAATATGTTCCCGTTCATATTCTAAAGACCACTCAGTTGTGGATTGAAAAATCTTTTCATATTCCCTCCCCAGCATTCCTCCATTGGCAGTAGACATGGCAATTGGATGTAAAATGCCACTGGATGTATATAGGACGAAATTAAGAGCAGGGGACAAATCTGATTGTCATAATGTGTTTCCCAATATAGCACGTATTTTATGTGAGAATAGTTCTTTCAGCTTATTTCACAGCAGGTGTACTAATAACTGAATAAACAACACTATTATGAGCACCACGAGTTTTGAACAGTCCCTGCTGTGTCATTCCAAACTGTCTCCATTGCCATTTAGATTAAGACTTTTCCTGTCACCTTTACATGAAACAGCATAGTCCTATTGAAAAGAGTTTTTTAATACATTCAAAACACCCAAATTCTTGTCATGTTATAGTGTGTGCAATGATGTATAGAGAGCGAAACGCGGAAAGAATGACGTTCTGTACCTTTATAAATCATGTTTTCCTCGATCAGCGGTACGTTGTCAGTTGGTTGTATTTGGCAATAAGAAACTCTTTATTTGACAAGAGCGGTCCTGGAGTCCAGGAGCAGTTGCAATTAATGTTGCATTCCCTTGTTGTGCTGGAACTATTTCCAAGACTATTGTTTTTACTTAGGCACCTAAAAGTGCAGTAGGAGTTTTTTTAAACTTTGAAACATTTAGAAAAGCACTCAGTTTCATGCACGCTCCCACAGAAAGAGTCAGCAAATCTTGCAAAATTAGGCTGCTGCCATGGGTCATTTAATGCGTCTGGACGAAAGCACGTTTTTTCCAGCACGCTTAAAGGAACTTCACTTCAACAGTGGCAGAAGATGATCTTTAAACAGTCTTCCCATTGTAAATGTATTGGATTTGGATAGTCAGGCTTGCCTTTGGTGAGAATTAAGCCAGTGCTTTGTCTGCCAGAGGGCTACAGAGTACCCCATTGTGTCCACTTTTCCAGCACATATATCTTTGCGCAGCTGATGATGTCCATTTGTTAGGAGGCAACAGCTGGCCGGCTGGCCACTCAGTGCAGCTGCTATTCCAGGTAGGGACAGCTGGGCTGCCACCAGGTATGGCCAACGCGGGGGAGATGTGCTCCAAAAGGTCACCGAGTCTCACGGTGTGTCTTACTTTCTCCCCACGCAAATGATTTTGTAGCGTTCCTGGAAAGATGCCGGTTGCACTCTTTTTCGACCAAAGGTGTAAGGAAAAGAGCAGATGCATTACTCATTGGATGTTGTGCTGTCGTTTTAGCAAAGCGTGCTTCTCGGACAATATGCTGCCGATCTTCATCGGTGAACAAAAAGAGAGACCTCTGGGGAATATAAAATTTTCCTCACTTTAAGATGAATAGCCATAGTTATGTATTTTACAGTTATTAGTACTGTTTTACAGACAGCTTTTTTTTTAATCCAGCCATAGAAAGGTAATACATCATCTTTTCTTCTCTGTCCACCCAAAAAGTCTTTTTTTTTGTATGATGCTACTCTTTCTCATATTAATTGCTATGAGTTTATATATACATGTACAGAGCCCTATGTTTTGTGATTTGAGGATAGAAAAACATTTCTGTACATAGTATGTGAGATCCTTTATGCAACCTATCTATAACAGCATTTTGTTCTCTGCGACAAAAAAAAAAGTATCGATGTCATATTTAGTCCTGAATTATTTATCCTTTCATCCCCTCCTGGCAGCTGCCACCCTATGTCTGGGGAATGCTCCTGCAAGCCAGGCTGGTCTGGGCTCTACTGCAATGAGACGTGTTCGCCGGGATTCTACGGCAAGTCTTGTCAGCAGATTTGCAGCTGCCAAAACGGTGCCGACTGCGACAGTGTGACTGGAAAATGCATCTGTGCCCCTGGATTTAAGGTAAATGAGTCTCACTTTCACAGCCTTTTTTTTGTACTCAATTAAAGGCAGTGGAGTCAAGAGTTCTTCAAGATGCTGCGTATCCTTTCTCTACTGAAGTGAAGGACAGGTAAGGATGTGCAGGGACCAGTTGGTGTGCTATAGCATAAGGCCCAGAAGTGAAGCTGTTAACTTTTTTTTTTTTTTTTAATGCTTTATAAGGGAGCGATAAGAACTAGGGTGTGCTATGAAGATGTAAATAAGGCAAAGAACTAGGATGCCTGTCGATAGGTTGCAGTTATTATCTATCACAGGAATTCCTCATACTCTGTCCAGAGAAACCCTGGACAGAGACAATTGTTCTTACAATTTAGGTCACATAGTTCATTAGCTTTTACACACATTTGCTCTTACCTATACACCGGATGCTAGTAACACAGAAAACAGTTTACAGTACTACTATTCCTTAAGCAGTAATGCTGTGCAAGCATCAACCATGTTATAGTTTAAAAAAAATATTATATGAATCTATATTATTTTCCATTAAATTGCTATTTTATATTTGATTTTTCTTTCTTAAATTGCTTCTTTGTTAGTGTAAATATTAGCCATTGATCTAACCAAGTGCTGTTAGCTGTGTGACATGCACTTTCATAGCAGCTAATCTAAAACTAATGCTTACTGTAGACTTAAAGAGAACGAAGAGCTCTGTGAAAAGCTTTTCCTTAAATTCAGGATAATGTGATGACAGCCTAGGACAATCACAGACTGTAGGTTTTCTGGCATTTGTAGCACCTGAGTCAATCTTCACGCTCAGTCAATCCTAGGTGTAGGTCATTTTGTTAGAGATATTGTTGTATTGTCTGAACCTCCTCGAATCAAATAGCTTTTAGAATCTATTTTTGTGTAATTTCAGGGTGCTGATTGTGGTACTCCTTGTCTTCCGGGAACATATGGAGTAAACTGTTCTTCTGTGTGCAACTGCAAAAATGAAGCTATCTGTTCAGCAGTGGATGGTTCTTGTACCTGCAAAGCGGGTAAGAATATCTTCAGATTAATTCCCCATTTCTATAATCATAAAATCAAAATGAATTTTGAAGTAGAGAAAAGGAGAGAAACTTAATAAAAACCAGACAACCTTGAAGGCCATACCACTAACTGCTTTATACTTCTGCTACTCTGGGAGCTGGCAAAAGGGAAAACATCTGCTCAGGAAAGAGCGAACGTAGCTCATGCTCGTGTTCTCTCTGTGCAGTTTTTAATAAGACGGATGCAGTGGCTGGGTGAATTACTAGTATTTATCTGCAGATGGGATGCCTCTTGACTCTCATGGAAGTGCCAAGAGCTGCTAAAATGACTACTGGTATGCCACTGATTGGATGGTAGCCTGCCTAGTGAAAACACTTTACCTCATTGCCCCTCAGTCTGCAGGAGCACCTCCTCCCTCTGCCACCCTCACCCCTCTTGGCATCTCAGGGGCGCAGTCTTCTCCCTGCGAGTTTAACACTCATGTTGATACCACTCCCCATGGTTTTCAATGTGAATACACCTTTCGTCAACAATTCACTGACAAACTTGGCGCAACCTTCTTCCCGACCTCGCAGCTGCTTTGTGCCATCAACATCCACAGAACTGTCTTCCCCTTTCCTCAAGAAACTTTCTGCATCTCCCAGTATTAGTGACAGTGGACTCACTCTCCTCAAGTCCTCTGCCTGCCACTCTCCCTCTGGCAGTAACTGTGGTCAGTGTATCCTCCACCTGCCCACCTCTCCTCTTTCTGGTAGCACATGCCAGTTAACTTTGGTAGGAACCAGAGCAGCTTAGCCATCCTCCAGCACAGGTTCTGCAGAGACTTTTTCCCCTATAAAGGTCTACAGGTCCACATGTAGTCCTATTCAACCTGAAATATAATACTAGGCTCCACTGAAAGATATGCTCTGGAAATATATACTGAGGAACTGTTGTTCTCTCATGGGTTTCTGTCGATAGGGAAGGTTTTAAAGTCAAAAGCCTCTCTCAGCTGTGATGCTAAATTGCTGAGAAGAGAGTGGACAGGCTGTTGAACGCTCCCAAGTGAATCCTGTGCTCAGCCTATGTTATAGACCTCCCCTCCCCCCAAATATATTTTTTTTAAATATAGGAAGACTGAGCGTGGGGGAGAAGTGGTCAAATTACCTAGACAAATGGCCGCTGAATAAGCCAGGGATTGGTACGATTAAATCCGTCATGTAGCAAATGTGCAGTTTTCGGCTTCTCCTCCCATCAGTTGCAACAGAACAGATGTAACTCTGTTGAGTGTCTTTGCTCAGTAGCTAGACTGTGAGGAGAAAAACTGTATTTCTTGAGCTGTGCGTAATCCTGTCTGCTTTAGTATCATGCAGGCTTTAGTCATCCTAAGATGGAAAAGGACAGCAAATAGTGAAATTGATTTATTAAGCTAAAGCCAAACGCTTGTCATATAAAAGATGCTGTTGGATCCAGCTGCTAAATTGAAAGCAAAGACATAAAGTGTCTCCCTGAATAACTAGAGATATTACCCACACATGGAAAATGTCTTAGGTGTCTAGCATTTTGAAGGCTGGGTTGACACCACTGAGCCAGTGAGAAAAATCCCATTAATTTCGATGAAATGAGGGTACCTTCTGTTTTTCGTCTGTTGCATATTTCTACATGTCTTCCCTGCTTCGCGCTCTCCTTCAGAAAACCCTGCTGCTGCATCTCAAATTAATAGTCATATTGCTATTCAATCTTCTTGATAAGTTTAGGAACAAGGCAGCTCGGTAGCTCTGAACAAAACAGGTTTGCGTGGGTGGCTCAGTGCGTGGTTAGAGAGTATAACCCCGTCTGTCATAGACACATTCCAAACCTCAATTATCCTTCATGGAATTGCCTGTTTTAATGATGCTTATATTATGGGAAGCTATTTAAGGAGAGGTAAAAGGAAACTTATAAATCCTGGAAAGACACTTGAGAGTAAGTGCCTCAGTTTTCTACCTACAACAGTGTAATATTTTTTCGTGAAATGACCCCTAAATTCGGAAGTTATCAATCCAGGGCACGAGGCAGATTCATTTCAATACATGTGTTTTGGATAGGCTATTGATTAGGGTCAGTGCAGAATAATTTTCCCCTCACTTACTGTAAACAAAGAACAAAATTAGAAACTTGGCTTTCATTGTTGTTGATAACATGTGACTCGCTCACTTGGGTTCTCTCATACCCAATAGATGATCAAGTTTTTGAAAGCCTATTTATATTTCTGTCTGTCCAGTGCTCAGGCTGTGAATCATTTCTATCAGTCACAGTGGTGAATGCAGCATTTTGGAAGCATTCTTTTTTGCAAAGGAGTTCAGAAATCATCTAAAAGATCTTCTGTGTATCCTCAGAGAAATCCAGCTTATGCACTATTTCACTGTTATGCTTTCTGTATGCTGTTTTTTTTTTGTTTTGTTCTGTTTTTGGCCAGGATTTCAGTTAAGACCATACTGCAGAACAGTTTGCCTTGAATGCTGGTGGAAGAATTATGAAAGCAGCAGCAAAAGTCTAGGAAAAATATCCCAAATTTTTTCAGTCTCTCTGTTAAAACTTTCAGGATAGTTTAGTGCTTCTCAGTGAAGCTTCAAGGTGTCTGTGTTTTCATTTCAGGTTTCCCATCAATTGCTTTCAAATATTGGCAGCCATTTGCAAACTGTGCTGTGCACAGCTGTTACAGGGTGCTGAAGGGCACCTTTGCATGAATTCGGACAAGTCTTCAACTGGGAAGGACGATACTGTCTCGTAGTTAATCTTAGCCTGTGAATCTCTAAGAGATTTTAAATGGGAGGTGGGGGTAAACATATCCTTGGTGAAAAATGGGGGAGAAGTTGATTAATTTGTCAGTTTAATTCTTATTTTTGGCAGGTTGGCATGGTGTAGATTGTTCGATAAATTGCCCCAGTGGTACCTGGGGACTTGGCTGTAACTTGACTTGCCAGTGCCTCAACGGAGGGGCTTGCAATGCTCTGGACGGAACCTGTACCTGTGCTCCCGGCTGGAGAGGAGAAAAATGTGAACTCCCTTGCCAGGTGATTTCATACATTTCACTGAACGTCACATTATAGAGTATGGGGCAAGGGGACACTCCTGTGATTCTTCTGAATTCACAGGGATAGGTCCCCTAAGGTGCTCTGTACCTGATTGTCAGCACGTATCAGGTTGGGTTCAAGATTAGGGACATGCCCCAAGAAATCTTCTGGAAGAATTCTGCTGTGGAATGCACTGAGGCATGTGGAGGAGATGACCATCCAAGATATACCTACACAAAATGAGGATACACAGATGAATATTTTTTGTGCTTTCACCCTTGAAAGGCTGACCTCGGACACTTCACCAACTGCTTTAGAATTTGTTGAAAAACTCAGTGCCAAATCTTTCCATCTCTTTCAGCTGTTAATCAGAAAGGAAACACTATCCAAACTGCTTCTGTGGAAGTACCTTAAATGGAAAACATGGCAGAAAAACCTAGCACAACATATTCCACTTCTAGCAACATGATTCTAATGAAATTAGCTTATATATGTGGTAAAGCATGAATGAAAAACTTTCCTCCTCTATCAGATAGGAAGGGCCTCTCATCACCTGACCCTGTGGCAGATCTTTGCCTTTGTATGAGGGTTTTGGCTTCTGTTATTTCCCAGGCTTCGAGAAGCACAAAAATTAGAAATCACTATGCGGACAAAGGCGTGCTTCTAGTCAGTTCAGGTGCATGTTGTAATCTGTAGCTAGGGGAAGCCATTAAAACCATGTAATTTCAAAATGAAAAAATTGGATGATTCAAAAACGGTTTGCATTATTACTTAATTGTTTTGTTTCTAATACATTTCATGAACGAAAAATGAAATATTCTGTGTAAAACTGTGGTTTCCCATAGCCCGTCTTCTCCCATGAGGGACTTGAGTTTTCTGGAAATATTTTAACAAACTTCACCTTTTAACAAACTTCTCCCTTCTCCATACTCCTTTTCCTCTCCATTCTATTCCTCTCACATATTCAAAACTATCCATATAGCAAGTTGTTGAATTAATATAATTGAAAAGGGGTCACCTGAACTGAACATGAACTCTGTAGGTTCCCCGCCCACGTCGTATCCAAGCTTTTGGATGAACTCCATTGAGCAATGACATGATAGGAACAGCCGAATTACAGCATATGACTGAAGGCCACACCTTTGTTTTGAATGAAAATCTGATTTATTGCAGTGCTCTCAGAATAAATAAAGTGCCAAACAAATTCTGAAACTTCCTGGAAAGCTGGTAAGAATGCTATCAGTGCACATTTATGCGCTGTTTCCAACAAAAGCATGAATGCATCTCCAACAGAAATCATATTTTTTAGGCAGCTTTGTTTATCACTTAGTGTCTGATTTTGAAGGATGATGAGATCTTCAAATCCATTAGCTCTTCCAAAACTGGCATATTAAAAGAGCAAGGTATTATTTCACAGCAGTTGCTTCACTGTTTGAATTCCAGGAAAACAACGCTTGAAAAGCATTTCTATATCAAGTACTTCAGTGTGCTTGTGCTCTTTCTTGCACGTGTGTGTCTCTGTCAAACAACGTCCATAAGCTTTTACATATTTTGAATGCATGTTCTGCCTCAAAGTTCCAGAACAGCAAGCAGAAAACTAATTGAAGTGTCCTATGCCATCTGCTTTTTTTCTTCATTGAGCCATAGTTGCAGACAGTTTATTTAAATGAATGTATTTCAATTTGTTTCAGTACCTTTAGAAAATTAATATTACTGCCCGATGGCTACTCAAGAGTTGAGTGAAGTTTGGCCAAAATATATAGCAGACTAAAATTACCTCTTTTCAGCGATATATTTGAGGATTTCCTTTCTTTCTAAATCTGATTATATGCAAAGGAACTGCTTTACTTACTCTCTTCTATTTCTTTGTATTAAAAAGGGTTACTGAGACAAGCAAAACACTTCTTATTCTTGGGCAATGTATGATTTTGTTGTATTTTAGACTTGAAAAGCTGGAAATTGAATGGCTAAGTCCTGTGGAACTCTGTAGAAATGTAGGCATGAACCTCAAAGAACAGCAGATCAGTTTTGATACAGGTTTTATTCCAATTTCTAATGTGACTGACCGTTTTTTAGCCTTGAATTTAAATGATGGTATTCTGTTGGGTTTTAAACCTTAGGTGCTTTTTTCTTTGTTTTCTTTGGTGTAGGTACACCCCAAATATTATCATGTGTTATATTGCCTGGTTTTCCCTGGATTTTCTTTTGGTTCTGTCCTGCTTTCTGTAGTTTCACTTTACTGTTGCACTTTGTCTTCTTTTGAGAAAACGATTTTAAAAGCTTTACTCTAGACAGTTTTGCAGATTGATTCCATATGGAATTATCTCTAACATGTATGTACTGACTTTTACTAAGAAGTACAAAAGGCAAACATTCAAATATTTAGATGGAGTTGAATGACTGAAAGAAAATGTAGAATGTTATAATTTGCCAGAAGCCAGAAGTGTTTTATTGTATGTGAGCTGGTTATGGATTCGGGAGAGATCTGTGGTTGCTTTGTGAAGCAGGACTGACCAGAACTTGTTCTCCTTTAACTCTCAAGTTCTGATTTGGGCTTTTTTATTCCCACAGGACGGCACGTATGGTATGGATTGTGCTGAGCGCTGTGACTGCAGCCATGCAGATGGGTGTCATCCTACCACAGGTTACTGCCGCTGCCTACCAGGATGGTCAGGTACAAAAGAGACCGTCGTGAAGGATGATGAGAGTTTCCAGTAGGATGGGACCTGATCTTAACTTTCATTCGTGGGGGTGCAAGAGGGGTATGTGGGACTGGAAGGAGAAGAACAGCAGTTCGGTGGCTCTTGAGTCACTTCCTGCAAGTCACGGGCACTGCAGCTCTTCTTGGGTGTGGTATCCACCGAAACGGGGAGTAGAAGGGGGAGCCTTAAAACTCAGGCACCTCCACAGTATGGTTCTTTATGCAAGTGGTGAATAACTGTAGATATTCAGATAACTCCTGCAGAAGCTGAGTTGCTATTTTAGTGTCTCGGAAACTTCTGCAAAAAATTTTTTTTCTCTGCCCACGTTTTGTTCTGTGTGAAAAGTGTTGTGCTCTTTTTTTGCAAAGCTTCTCCAACTTTTTCATTGTGGTTTTAAGAAATACGTATGTGTAACTATTCATCAGAATTATGTTTGATGCTGTTGTTGCCTGTGGAAAGCAAGATTTTTTAAAAAACAATTAAGCTGTGCAGAGGGGCAGACAGAAAATGCTCCCTTTATCTGTAGGAGGTACGTGGATCTCTAAGCTCTAACTACTGGAAAAACTCTTCCATCTTCAATAATTGTGGTTACTTTGTAATGTAAGTTTGTCTTTTGGTGTGTTCTGAACTTTGTATCTCACTACCGTACTATGGCCAGTGTATGGCTTCATGTCACCCACCTTTATGGAATGATTCTGTTGGATAATGGAAGTTGGCATGAACAAACAGACTTTAGAGGAACAAAGTATGTGTCTGCTGTGATAGAAAAGGAGTTTGTTTTGTGATTTCAGTTATAATCCAGCAGTATTTATCATCATCTCATTTATAAGGTAACATTTTCATAATTGACTTACTGGTCCATGAAATAAGTGTTTTCTTTTTTCTCTGGTGCTTCCAGGCATATTAGATGGAGGTGAGCAGATAAACTGCAGCAAGTCATTTATTTGACAAGTTTAGCAAACTATTGTGCTCACAAAAAGTTTACCAAGAGGTTATGACATCCTCAGATATAATCTCTATTGACTTTTTTCCCAAGCTTTGTTTTTTTTTTTTTTACTATATATTTTAAAGTTCTGTAGCTGGATCAGAGGCGTTTTGCTCTAAGGACGTAATGCTCTGTGTCTGAATTTCAGATTGGTTGAGTGTAGTTGGTTGCAGCTCACATTTCTACTCCCTCTTTGGATGAATGTGACTTTTACGATTGTGAGGCTGGGAAAAATCTGAGGAGGATACGAACATAGGCAGGAAAGGTTCCTGCTTTGCCTTGGAAGAGAGCAGCCATTTCTTGCCTGTGTAATTTGTTGCATATTCAGCTTTTGTTAAGTTCTTTGAAGCAGCGTGTCTCCCTGTTGTGACCCTATTCAGTGTGGAAGAGAGGCTTCTAGTGAAAGCAGTCACCTAACTGAGCTAGGAATCTGTTGATTTTATTCTCTTCCCACAAGGTACAGTGTGACTGAAACTCTGGCATTGAAACGTCCCTGGGAAAGGAGTATCACAAGAGTGCAAATATGAATAAAAGCAATTGGAGTGAATTCTGAAAAAATATTATTTGCATTATCCCACCTAGTATTGTTTCTAGAGACATTATTTTGCATTTTTAGGTTATCTTGTTAGGAAATTCACAGCCTTTTATAACTGTTTTCCTCATTTTCAGGCAGTCTCAGAAGTATATGTGTGTGTATGAACACGCTTTCTCTAACTTCTATTTGAGTCTGCTCAAAATATGAGTTCCTAAACTAGCAAACCTCTTGAACAAAAAATACTCGCATAAAAATATGTAAAGAGATCTGTATCAGCAGGTCTTGAGTACCTTTGGTGCATAGAGTCAAGAGGTGTTCACAGGTTCTATGGGTACTGTTCAAGATATGTCTTGATAGTCTTCTAGTAGTGAGACAAATCATCACAGAGACCAGAAGTATGTAGATAAATAAAGTCAAATTAAAGCAGGAAGACTATAGTAAAAATCTGACAACTCCTTCTAACAGATTAAAAAAACATAGCCAGTGAACATGAGCAGTGTAGTATTTGCAGTACATGAACAGTGTAGTATATCTAACCTAAGATGTGACGGAGGACTTCAAACATAGCGCTAATCTCGACTGTACTTTAATGCAAGTATTGGAAAGGAAGAAGTGTTTTTGCCTTTAATAAAAGCTTGATGGTCCTTGATATTTAGACGGGAAAAAGATTTCAGGAGAAAGAGACTTCATGTGTGATTGTAGATAAAATTGAGTATCCGTCCCTAGACAATGTCATCACAACAGCGTGTGTGTCAGAGACTAGTTTCAACACGTTGGTGATGTCTAGACACACAATATGACATAAACAGCATACTTAATTTTATACTCAGTGTCTGGAAAAGTCTTCCTCCCACACTTCACGTGTCAGAGGAATCTGTCCTTATTTATGTAGCTACTTATATTTAGAAGGATTAAAAAAGAAAAAAATACTTTAGAAACAGGTTCTCAAATAGCTGTACTGAAACATTACATTGCTGAGATAGCATTAGACTGTAGGATTAAGAAGGCTGGTTGTATACATATTTGTGTGCGCAATAGGTGGAGAAGCAGGTGGAGAATTTGTGAAAATGAAGGTAAGACAATGCAATAAATTGCATTCACTTAGCTTACATTTCTTTTATTAGATTTGTTAAAGTAACCATCTAACCTGCTCGTTTTTGGTAGTTAATAGTACTTAACAAAATAAAAGTAAGAAAAAGAATCTGACTTTGGGTCAGTGCAATGCTCATCTGACCCAAATGAAGGATTTCTAATGAACGTTTGGGAAGGTTTAAAAAAAAAAATACATTTGAGGAAGCTTAAGAATGTGAAATGTGAGTCTTTCTTCTTTTTTGACAAAGAAGAAGTTGATGAACCCAGTATGAATTTCGCCAAATGTTTTGATGCCACCAAAATTATATATATTTTCCAAAAAGATATTTTGGAAGTGATGTTTTGCCTGGGCTTAAGTTGTCTGCACTTTCCCCGAGGAATTTCCTGAGAGGCAATGGTTTATGTGACTTCACAGAAATAAATTGAGGGTGGAGACCTTTCCTTTGGAGAATGACATAGTTGCGCCATAGTTTGGGAGAAGAGGGAACGCACCGCATGGGACCTTGACCTGGTACAGGGCACACTCGCTCTGGTAGTGAGGGAGCTCAGTGCTTCTGAAGCAGGCACAAGGGTTATTGTCATATACCTTAAGGCAGCCTAGCTAACATGATATCCTTTATTTTGGTCTTGAGATACAGCTGCAGTTGAGCGTTAGGTGACCAGTAAGATGCTCTGGGGTTTTTTTTTTCTTTTTTAAGAAATTTTTCCTTATTTTTGGATAAGCATGTTATTTCTTGCTTCTGGAAATCCTCTTAGTTTATGAACAAAACTGTAAATTCAATTATTGACTAAGTCCTGAGCAATCATAAAACTCAAGAAATAATTAGAATTGTTTCTTTAAAAGAATTACACTGTTCTTCTGTCTTCTGCTGTTACCTAAGGAGATATTTAGACTTTTAATCCTACAAACAAAATGACTTTTGTTTAGGACTCCCATTAAAGATCCCACCCTCTCTGTGATTTACACCGACAGTGCTCACTATAGAGCAGCTTTTAATTCTGCTTAGGAAAGCAAGAGTTAACAGCGATGGTTTTTTCCGGCAAACCACATGACATGATGGTACAAATGAGAAAAATCCACCCACGCCGAAGATGATGTCTGCCCCCAAACACTCTTCATCCTTTGACATTTTAACTGTAATTGGTAAATAACTTTTCTTCATTTGGCAGGATCGCAATAGCTAGACAGTGGAAAAGAGTAAGAAGCATTAAAAGAGAGAGCCATAAAGCGAATGAAAGACGCGGTAAACTTGTTCTCCCAATACGTAATGATAGTTAAGTCTTCAAGTAGTTTATGCTGACACTTGGAATGAACTTCTGTTAAAGAGCTCCACCTATACCTCGTCTCCCGATGACCGCAATCCAACAAGCACTGTGGTACAGCAAACCTGTTAATTTTCTACCTTAATCTTATCTGTTCTGCCAGCAGCCATCGCAAGACAAATTTTCCAAACTGCCTAAAAGATTAGAGAATTCATATTGGTGCAAACCAAGATTTCTCATTTAAAAAAAGAAAAAAGAAAAAAGGCCAAGGTTTTCCTCCAGACAGTTTAGAACACACTTGGCTTATTAGTGATAAGACATTACTCTTGTGCTTTGTTGGACACAGTTTCGTTGGACCTTTCAGGTCCTGAAGAAATGTCGGGCTGCATCAATACCGCATTTGTTATTTTTAAAATCAACTGAAAGGCTACGTGATGCCAGGGATTACGAAATACCACTAGTCTGCTGCCTGTACCAAAACAACAGCTTTGGTTTATGGAAAAGACAGATGCAGCAATATCAGCCTACATTATACCAGCACGCACAGGGTTTGTCTGTATGCCGCGGCAGATTGGGCATTGGTGGCTTTTTGCTGTGCTGGCCACCTGCTGACGCTAGTCAGGACTGTCCATTCCCGGATGCGTTGTTTTTACAAGGAAATGCTGTGTCTTCCCACGTGCTCCCGGCATGATTTCCAAGAGGCACATTTGTTGCTGGATTCTCCCCGAGAGACTTGCCCTCGCCTCGCCCGTGTAAATAACTCAGTCCCCTGGGGAGCATAGACTAGAAGTCTAGCTTTTATTGCGGATGTGGGGGTTTTTTCCTACTACATCCAAGAAAAAGACATAAAAGACTACTGTCATAGGTCTTCCTCAACTTAATGCTGAAAAATGAGCTGCCGCTGGAGCAGCACACACGGTGCTAATGCCCCGGCGCATCCGAGCTGCTCCCCTTGCTGTCCTACATTGGCCACTGGGAACAGAGATTTCCCTTTGCTGCTGCTGATTGCTGCCTGAGCCTCTGGAGCGTGAATGTTCAGTATGCCACAAAATGAAATTAGGTGTGGACACTGTGGCATGATAAAATGCATGTTTACTTCTCAAAACGAGGGAAACAGATTCTGTATTATTTAGAAAGGGCACTAGCCTGTCCTACCGCTGGGTTTCTCCATGTCTGCGTCTCTAGTGCCTGTGCACTGTGATGCGCGTTCGTGTGAAGGAAGCATCACTATTTTTAAAGGACAACTTTAAATTGGTAAATTAAGTTCATTTATTTTTTTACCTATCAAGAAAGCAAGAAAAGGAGAAGTATTGTTTTCCTGTGGCTACCTTATTTTGAGACAGTTCTATCTGTTTTTCTGGCTCTCTTCCACTTGAGAGCAAGGCCTCTTCTTGCCTAAAGACAACGTGAAAGTATTTCTGAACAATGCCTCTGGAGTTCTGCACCGCTGCCCTGTGCTGGTGCTCCCCTTTTTTGGGTTATCACCCATTGGACAGAGAAGCAGAGAAACAATTCTCACCTAGCTTTCCCCCATCAGAAGTCTCAGCTTTCTGGAACAGAAATAATCTATGGTTTAGCAGAGCTTTTCTCAAATAATTACATATAAAGGGTGAGATCGTGGACCATGCTGGACTTTAATGAGACCAAGGTTTCCCCAGGTTTTGAGGGCCTGAGCCTCCTCTTGTTTATGCTGTTATATGGGAAGCACAGCAATATAAAAATAAGCTGCAAGTCTGAGACTATACTGGAAAGCTCCGTGGGCAATGAAGATAAATTGCATAGCAAATACATGTTCTTTACGAGATGAATTAATTCTTTACTTCTTAAAGTTTGGATAACTTTCTATCAGACTAATGGAAACATAATAAGCTGGAAAATAGTGCTTAGTCCAATAATAAATTTACCTTGTAAGATTATAGGTAATCATTTGTAGATTTTTTTTCCTTTTTAAGTGCTAAAACAAATGAGCTGTCTGTTGAACTGACTTGGATGGATCATTGAGTCTCAACATAATAAATATATAGCGTAGGAAGTATGTAAACACTTTGCTAGCGTGGGTAGAAACACTGGTATCCCTCGAGAATTATTTTGCTTCATTCACGCCATTACGGATGCCGGGGGAATGCTGATTTAGACGCGAGGCCCCTGGCATAAAGCACTGGGCATTAAATGCATGAGCATTTCTCCAGAGCAGCTTAGCCGAAGTTTATCATGACCATTCAGCTATTGCCTAGCAACTTGTGCAGGCCGTCAAAGAGCTCTTTGTCCCCGGCTCTGGCAAAAACACTTCCTCACAGATCTCCTTATCGGTATCAAAATCAACATGCAAACTTTTCAAAACCAGTTTTATTGCCTAAGAAATTAATACGCGCGTAAAAGAGCGGCGGTGATATGCTCGTGCACTGTATGTTGTTGTAAAGGCTGAGTCAAATCTTCCTTTCTAAGTTTCAGTTAAAAAGTTTGTTGTTTTTTTTCTCCCCCTTGCTGTTTTCTAGCTTTTCTAAAAAAGCATAGCTTTTTCTCTGCTGAAATGTAATATAAAGCGTCAGGCTCTGGAAAAATCTTTTTCTATTTTTCAACCCTTTTAATACTTCTGAAGTACTCTTTCTCAAACAAGAATATGTGTAATTAATTTTTACAGCTATAAAATATGAAACGCAGTTTTCCGTTTGGAAGTGCCTTTTGGGCTTACCTAACTAGTAGCGGGTGAACGAGACAGTTTTCAACTATTCACGTAACTAGAGATACACGGTGTGACTGGATCAGTCTCTGCTGCTGCTTGGCTGCAGTTGTTCCTGACGCACTCTGGCACACGGGGTGAAATTGATATTGCTTGTGATAAATAGCAGATATAATGAAATCCCTTTTAGGCTGAAAAGGATGTAATATTCAGCGCTGTTTGAGTACATTAGATTGTCATAATAATTACGCGGTGGCGTATAGGATACGCTTTCCCTTGGCTAAGCAGAGGGATGTCATTCCTCACCTGACTACCTCCTCACGAGGTGTGGGAGTGAAGAAAAGATAATTTTTCTTCGCTTCCCTTTATGGAGGATTTTCCCCGATGGGTACCAGAGGAGCTTGCTCCCTTTTCATTTTTAATGGTGTGGCTGGCTCTTTTAAGCATCGCGGTCCTAAGTAGCTTATAGTCTTTTCTACGCCAGCGTGCCCAGTATCACCCTTTGACACTGCCCTGTTATAAAGCATCCTCTGTGCGCAGATCAGGACGATATAATTGAGCCTGGTGTTATTGTATGTCACTGCTCTACATAATCTCAGATAATGCACTATGGTAACTCTTGGCAACTGCAGACTTGTTAATAGCGGCCATTGTATATCGAACACCGCAGAAACCCATTAAAACTTGGGGGAAAACGTCCTTTCTCTAGCAGGGGTCACTGAGCGAAGCTACGTACGACATGACAAATAATGAAGCACAGAGAATGTCAGGCTCCGTTCTGAAATCCCTGGAGCGCGTGAGCTTGTGTTCTCGCAGGCTTAAAAACCCACGTGGTCAAATTTGGGAACCTCAAGCAGGGCGATTTCAAGCACCTGAGATAAGTTTTGAAAAATGCAGCGATCTCATCCTGCTCGTATGCTTCAACCGGAGGACGTCGGCACCCCTCAGACGACTCTTTCTTTATTTAGTTGTGCACAAATAGGGACTGACTTAAGTACCTGCAACTGAAACGTCAACCCAAGCTGTTGGGAAGCAGGTTCATGTAGTCTCTTAAATGTGGATAAGGAGAGATTGACGTTCCCTCTGTGGGCAAAAATGAAAAGGTTAGTAATTGATATAAGGAGCCTTTCATTTTTTGGCAATGAATTCGTTTCAGGTCAGTATTAACCAAATGATCAATGTCCCCGTAGGGCTGTTAGGTGACCTCTGTGCTGTCGGCTGCTGCTCTGGATGTGGATTCTAAAAACCGACTGTTTTCTCTGTCGCTGCCGTTGTTTGGTGCAATCTGTTGAATCAAACATTTGGTTCAATGACTCAAGCTGGTGATTGTGTTGCAAAGAAACAAACAAATTGAGAGTCTGGAGTTTCACCTTTTCTCTAATTAAAGACTTGGTCCCTGGCTATAGGCAGCTTTACAAGGCAGTGGGGGTTGGGGAATTACCTCCGCGTCGGGTCTGTGAAAAAACAGGGTAATTTATTTTTCAGTGTTGGTACGAACACTGGGTTTTGCTCTTCAGAGGGGAGAGATTTTTTTTTTTAACTTGTCACATGTGAAACTAGTTTGCTTTTTTAAGATTCTGGCAGCCAGTGAACCTGTGGCACATTTTGCTGGAAATACTTACAAAGCAAGTCATACTTGTGGTTGGATTCAGTCCACTTTTCCCTTAGCGAAGTGCTTCATTCAGTAGAGGCACTACAATAATACTTAATTGTTAATGCAAAATACCGGAGACACAATACGGTCGGAGTGCCACAGTGCTGCCTGCTGGCATTTAACATGCGGCGCGCTTTTAAAAAAGAAAAGTAGATAATGGAAAAAGCAAGCAAAAAAGTTATATTTAATGCCGCTGCCTTGCATAGAGAAAAAAAAATAAATAAAGAAACCCCCAATTGGACGATTCCAATTCGCGGTTTGCGTTACAATTGATGTATAGGGGTTCGGGTCATGGTGATCTGATAATCAATTTTGTGCCAAAGGCAGTTAGACAAAACAGTGACTGACCAGCATCCTTAACACGGCGGCGGCTCAGCATTTTGGAATGCTCACATGGCAGATTTGGAAACCCCTTGTGCCCTCTACGTTTTTCCGTTTGGTACGAGGCTTAGCAGTAATCAGCTCACTACTAATTAGAAGTCGTTCTGCGTCCCGCTCCCCATTATCACATTAAATTATCTCAGGCCTGAAGAATTTTTGCATTCAGAAGGAAAAGTTTCTGCGGTACCTTTTGTCATGTATTTTCCCGCACATAAAGGTTGAAAATAGGCTTTGGCTGTTTTGAAGCAGCCGCTGTGGCGGAAGCAAAAGCCGTTCTCTTGCCGTGTTTGAATTATTTTCTACTTTTCATTTCTGTTTTTAACTGTTAAGTAGCATATAGCAATAGTGAAAGTGAGATAAAAGGATATATATACGTAGAGAGAGAGAGAGAGAGAGAGAGAGAGAATGTGCAAGAGAGTGCGAGAGCGCAGTCTTGGAAAATGGTTGAGATATTTATAATATTGAGAGGTTTGCATTCATCTTTGTAGATCTTAAAATATCAGCAGGCAAGAAGCCTGGAGGTAGAATCCCATGGAGCTCTTATTCTCCATGTGAATTGGCTACAGAAATGCTTTCCTGTTACAGAGCTCAGGATCAGTCCTTATGTACCTCTCCTCAAAACTGGACTATAAGAAGTTCACTGTTCTGGGATGCAGGGAAGGCAGGAGCAGAAATACAAGTTTACCTTGTTCTTCCTGTATTCCCCTGATGTTAGTGAGGTATTAATAAATAGTTTTTGTTAGCAGTGTTTTAAGTACTAGTCCTCCTGAGAACCAAAGGTTTAAACTAACTGTGCATGCCATGACCTAATAAGAGCTCTTGATGTACAAGCGATGACAGTTCTCTTCATTTCTGGTTGCAGGCATACACTGTGACAGTGTGTGCGCAGAGGGACAGTGGGGCCCAAACTGCTCGTTGTCTTGTTACTGCAAAAACGGAGCTTCGTGCTCTCCCGATGATGGCATCTGTGAGTGCGCGCCAGGATACAGAGGCACCACTTGTCAGAGAAGTAAGCACAAAATACATGCTTTGAAATCTCAGTTTCTCCCTCTTTTATTTGGAATATATTTGATATAATACTGTACTACTGTGTTAACTGTGCTGTGAAACAGTCCTCGACTGGACTTCTTCATTGCCAAATTGTATGAGCGTAGAGAAATAGGTATTAGTTGAAGTTAACAACGTTTCCCACAGCCCTCTTCTAGTTATTGCATAACTTTGCATTTATTTACTAGTGGTGCAGTCACATAGCTGTGCATGTGACTTTATAAGCAACAAATATGGTAAGGGAGTCCATTCTAAGGCTGACGTTCCCAAATGTGATTGACCAAGATTCATTTTTCAGTAGATATTTAGTGGCTAATTAAAGCGTGCCCGAGTTTCAGAAGTTAGAAACCTTAGCTTCCCATTGAGTTTGATAGGAATCATTAGCTTAATTATTGCTTTTAACATTTCTTTTGAAGTAGCAAAGAATGACCAGTAGGATCAGGCCTCACTGTAAGTAAGAGGTGTTATGTGTACACGTGCTTGGATTTGAAAAATTCGTCGCTGTAAAACCTAAATGTTTGTTACCAGGAGAAGAGAGGCAAATCATACTGGAAACAGGGAGGCAAAAATAAGATGATGTGCAAAATGTCCGCCCATCCAAGAAAATTTATCACAGTTTACCAGTTGCCTATCTGTCCTCAGTTCGCATTGTAGCAGATAGGAGGGAGAGGTGGCCAGAGCAGAGCAACGCGACTCCTCCACGCTTGGAGGCTAGCCCTGTTTCCGGAGGAGGTCAAGAAGCAGGTGGAATAAAGCCAAGCAGAGAGGCTACTGGGTCCTCTGAAAGAGGCAGAAAAGGAAGAAGACCCAGAAGGTGAAGGGAGAACCAGAGGAGTCCAGGCACGGCAGTATGTCAGGGTGAAAAGTGTGGTTGCCTCTGGTAGTACTAAATGCTTTACGGTAGTATTAGTTTCTCTTAAGCATTTCTAACTGAGTGCAGCAATTATTCTCACTATCTCATCTCTGAAGGCTTTACAGTTAATCAGTTAATCCAAAGGTAGACTAAATGTAAAACTTCCTTGTGCCTTGGAACCAATGTATATAACGAAGAGAAGCAGCTTCCCCTCCAATGGCCCTTGGAGCCAGGCTCTCATGCACGGTTCAGAGGCCAGGAGGACGTACAAATAATTTGATTCCCAATCAGAAAGTGCCTGTTCAGTAAACAGGAAGACCTTAAGGCACTGTTTCACTTGGAAAAGTTAAGTTCCCTAGAGAAATCCGACCACGTAACTTATATCAAGCGTATAACTGAAAGGCTGAATCTTGAATGAAATTAAAATATTGAAAAGATACCAAGTTGCTTTTCGTAAGTGCTAATTGCTGCTGTGCAACAGATATTTGACTTGAAGCATTACCTAATACTCTAATCAGGAAAAAAAATGCCCAAAGGGATTAGAGAAACAAAGATTTCATTCATCAGCCTTCCCTCCCCTTCCCCCCCCACCCCCCCCGTCTGTTTATTTGGCTGATGGTGGTGGTCTGCATAAGAAGGGACTAGTGCCTTTGGCATAAGAATTAAGCAGAGGACTGTATTTTTCAGGTCTCAAGTTCTGTAAAAGCAAGGGAGATGATGTGTAGCTGACTATCTCATGTAATGAGTACAGTGAATACTTAACTGAAAGGATGGCTTGAAAACATTTATGCCTTTTTTCAGTGAAGTAATGGCTAAAGGCGTCTAGATTTGTATACCAATTTAGGAGGTGCATAAGAAGTTGAAGTTTAAGGAGACTCTACTCGTCTACAGATAAAACTATCTATCTATCTGTCTCCCTCGTTTTTAAAGTATTTTTCTTCAAATACGCTTTTAAAAGATGTTCATGCTGTAGAAGACATATAATATATAGGCAAATATGTATATATATTTCAAAAATAGCACAATTAAAATGTTTCTGTTCTCTTAAGTAACAGTGTATTTGACCTGACAAGTAATGGATTGTCCACTAGGCAATTACTAACTAGACTACAGTAAGCCCTCAAGGAAGAGGATTAAATCTCCTTTACATGCGTGTACAGCATTCTGCGTTTATTGAAACTGCATGAATAATAACAACCACCCTTGCAATCCTTGTGTATTTAGAAAGTAGAGCTGATCAAGCGGTGAGCCCACTAAAGAGGAGTTCATGGCTGTATAGGTAGCGCCAGAGACGACGACGGTCTGTTCTTTCTAATTCCAGTTTGTTCCCCTGGGTTTTATGGACACCGTTGCAGCCAGACATGCCCCCAGTGTGTGCACAGCAGTGGTCCCTGCCACCACATTACTGGACTATGTGACTGCTTACCTGGATTTACAGGAGCCCTTTGTAATGAAGGTACAAGCTGTAATTAATGCTCCTCTAATTACTACGATGCTTGGTAGATGCCAAGAATTCTAATAACGTTCCTTTTATCTATTGGATACCTATAAGACTAAAAATGGTTTCTGTTGTAGTATGTGAAGTTTGTAAATGTTGAATCTTAGGCAATTTTAAGCTGTTTGAAAATTTATGAGAAGTATGAAAAATGCCTCTCTTCAAACCAACGCTCTTTTTTCTATGTATTGTTTGTAAAATGGGTAATTGAAATGGGCTTACCAGAACCTATAATGCCTTGCTTCAGTATTATACTAAATAATATACTTTTCTTGATCCAAACACCAGTTGTTTTTTCTTAAAATAAAGAAGATGCAATCTATGTGCTAATTTCTAAAGAATTCTAATACTGATATCTTGTTCTCAGTGTGTCCCAGCGGCAGATTTGGCAAGAACTGCATTGGAATCTGCACCTGTACCAATAACGGCACGTGTAATCCTATCGACAGGTCTTGTCAGTGCTACCCTGGCTGGATTGGTAGTGACTGCTCTCAGCGTAAGTGTCAACTTTTTTTTCTGTTACTTTTCAGTAGCTGAACCGTGACTAGTTGTTTTAAATTCTCTACTTCTTGGTGAAAAAAATACTTTCAAAGTGAAAAGTGAGAACTTCATGATGTGTCATGAAGAGAGATTTGCCTTTTTTGTATTTCATTTGCATTATTACAAACTTATTTGCGTTATTACAAAAACTCATTTGCATTGTGAACTTTCTAAGAAGGCTGGGGGGCTGCTTCACAGAGTTATTTTATTAAATAATTAGGTGTACTACTGATACGTTCCTGATACAAGAAACAAATTCCTGAAACAAAATTCTCAAAGGAAGCATAACCAATTCCATAAAGTAATAAAATGCACATAGTCCTGCAGTGCATGTGTACAAAAACTTCAGTCAGCCCGTTTTTAAGAATAAATGTAGTTACATCAGACCCTCATACCTCAAAATTCAAAAGACACTGCGCAAGGGTTTCCAGGGAGGTGCATTTCCTAATAACATGCCTCATTGACTGGTCCAGGTTAGCTGGCTCTGTACCGGTGCGATGTAACATCTGGTCCGTTTGGAAAAAACCCTTCTTTGCTGGCTAAATTCTGCGAAGTGATTAGCATCCGCAACTATGTATGAGATGAAAATAAATTTTGAGCCTGTTCCTGTGGAAGCCAGTAGCAGCATAGGTGCTGGGTCCATATTTTTATGGTGAAATAAGCAGGTTATTGGAAGAGTAGCAGCATAGGAGTATTTGGGAAGAGGAGAGACTTAATCACTGAATGAATATAAGAAAATGGTGCCAGCAGTATGAATGGAGGCTTCTATTGAGGCTGTGCTCAGGAACCATAGGAAAAGTTTATTTGCTTTATGAAACAGCCTTTCGTTCCCATGGAAAATAATGATTCCATTAATTTCTTTTGGAACGACTGACCTTCTTGAAACACTTAACCTTTCTTCTGTATGTGATCTACATTCCTTCTTGGCTGACCACTAATGTCATACAAGAAATAACAGTACTAAAAATCACTGTAAATCACCAATTGAAACAACAGCAGCAAACTTATTACAAAATGTGTTTTATTTCATTAAAATGGAATATGTTTCTTAACAGTGAATTGTGGGCAAGGGTAACGCTTTGCAAAAATACAGGCCACACATATATCAATCTTTTTGCTTGTACAAACATTTAAAGGATCAAAAAGTTTCTCTTGCTCCTAAGACAGGTCTCTGGACAACCAAATCCAGTGTACAATCATGAGGAGATATCAGTCTTTTTAAACTAATACAGAAGTAGGGATCAGACTTTAGAGTCTAGCCTGTTTCTCCTCTCCTGTAAAATACTCCTTTTTTGCTTCCAGAGAACTGTTTTTGAATAGCACAAGTCTATACTAAAGGAACAAAAAACCTTAAGATGTAAATCCTAGGTTTTCACAGAACAGACCTATTCTTAGAGCACCTTCTGCACTTAGTGATATTCTGACATAGGGAAACTTTTCTGTTGCTGTCTCTGAACAATAATTAGCATTTTGGGATTACTTCACTACTCTTATGGTAGCATTCAGTATCTGATTTGTTCACCATGACATTTTCAAAGTAATCACTGAAATTGCATCTCATAACGTTTTTAGACACTGTTATGAGTAAAAAAAACTTCCTACTTTATAGTTGCTTGCTTATTAGAAATATATTGATTGGTGGGCCTGTGGAAACAACCGGGTAAATCAGAAGCCTTATCCGGTCCAGAAACTGTACCTTAATCTAGTTACATGTTCCACACTTAGGCAAAAATACAGAATCTAACAGTGGAAATACAGGGAGTAGCCTTGCTGTTATGTCAGGCTACAAGATACGTTTCAACCTTCTCTGTCTGTTCTCCTTCACGTTTGAGATTTAAAATGCTTAACCCCTTGACAGTGTGCAGTTGAACTGTCTTCAGATGAAAAACTCACTCAAGAAAAGAGATGGATGTTGCTCTGTGATCCAGTCTGTGAGAAAACTAGTATAAGATAACAGCGTCCTAGTTACCTAGTATCAGATATGTACCTCTGGTTTCTTTCACGTGTATAATTTTTTTTCCAGCACTTTTTATCTAGAACAAATGACTCATTAGTTTAAAAAAAACCAAAATCAGTGCTTGTCTATCTGCTCAGAACAGAGCAGCCTAACGTGGTTTAAAAAAAAAAAAAAAAAACCAAGCAAGACTCATATTTGAATGAGTGCTCAATGTTAATGAGCAGTGAGGATCCTTGTCGTTTGAGATTAATTGATTTGTTGTTCTAGCTTGTCCACCTTCCCACTGGGGTCCCAACTGCATCCACACGTGCAACTGCCACAACGGAGCTTACTGCAGTGCCTATGACGGGGAGTGCAAATGTACCCCGGGATGGACTGGCCTTTACTGTACCCAAAGTAAGTGACCCTTATTGTCCATTCATGCTCTTATGGGCCTGCAAATCAGTGACAGAATTTTCCTTTGGTATTTTCACCACTTTACTTACGGATTTCTTTCTGCGCTGCTAACCTTTTCACACCCAGCAGGCCTACTGCATTGCCTCCGCAGTCGCCGGAGAGGTCCTCGTGTACACCCCGGCACAGCTTCAGCCATGTTTGCATTCAGGCTCCTCTCTGGCCTTTCTGCAGAGGAAGGCAACTTTTGGCTGCGGCTGGGTGTCCCTGGATGTCACCACTGCACGTGGGTCATTGTGGCCCTATGTGCAGTGTGGATGCCATCAGCTGTGCGGGCAGCGTGCTGGTACTGTGTAATTCCTTCCCTCTCCAAAACCTCCCCAGGAAACCTTCCAGCGCTGGGGATGCAGTAACCAATCTTATAACATCATAACACAGAGCTGACTGAAGCACAAGAATAGCTTGTGCCTTAGCTGTGGCTGTGATCTACTGAGGCACAGTCCCTGTCGGCACTGCAAAGTGATCGTGTGGTCCATCTCTCGTCTGTAATTGTTACATCCTGGAGGGCGACTGCTCACAGCAACTCTTGCTCGGCACATATACCGATATAGAAGCTATTTTATCTGGAATTTAGAAGCCGAACTTCATGAGGTTGTTATTTCATCATTTCTTTTGGAATTTTCTTTGTATAATTAATACATTAAATTACTGACGTTTCTAAGATGTTTTCATTAGAAGAAAAATATCAGCAATGCAGTGACTGGGAATAGGTATATGGCACTCATTATATGCTGGCTAACAGTTCACACGAAGTTCGAAAGAGAAAAATTTGTTAGAGATGGATATTGATAGGGAAAAGGTTGGTTTCTTGTTATCTTTATCATAAGCGGTTATATTTATGGCTCGTATTTGGCTTATCTTCATTCGAGGCATGCCCACTGTTTACAATCCGGGCACAAGTATTATCTTTGAACTCAAAATAAATAGCTAATTGTTTTGCATTCAGTGTTAAAAAGCACAGTTTTCATGAAGTCGCAACTCTTCTTTTTCAACTGAACAGTGTCATAGTGGCAGGAAATAACACATATATTATAGGGCCATATGGATGCAGCTCTGGAACACATTCACGGTACTGGTTCAGCTGTCAGCTCTCGTGGTTATTTTGCTTCCTGCTGGTGAATAATGATCTCTGTGCGGTGATACGTCGTCTTCATACTGAAGTGGCATCTTTGTGAAGAGTGGAGACACAATATGTTGTTATTTTTGCTCTTTATGCTTCAACATCGACTGTGCTGAAAATATGTCCAAAGATCCATTTATCGCTAGACAGCCTCCCTCTACTGGTTCACAAAGCACCCTCTTTCTTCTCCTGCAAATATCTCCTTAAAACCCATTGCTTCTAACAGCCCATCTTGCTACCTTCTTCTGATCGTCTGCTGTCCCCACAAGTTCCCATTCTCATTTTTGTATAGTTGTTTGTCTGCTGCATATTTTAAACTGCTTAGAATAGGGTAGGTCTTAATCTGTTGCGCTTACGGAGCGCATGTTGCGTAGCAGGGCTACAGAAATGACTTTTCAATAGCATAAGAATATTTGAATGTTATTTCTAGAGCAGTTTTTTCACTCTGTTTTCCCTCCCCCTCCTTGTGTTGCAGGATGTCCCCTAGGGTTTTACGGGAAGGATTGTGCCTTGATTTGCCAATGTCAGAACGGAGCCGACTGCGACCACATAACGGGGCAGTGTACCTGCCGCACAGGATTCATGGGGAAACACTGTGAGCAGAGTAAGTGGGAGCTGGAATTGGTCATGCTTGATAACAACAAATACTAAAACCTCGAGCCGAACTTCTGTTGTTTTGGTCCGTGTTCTCATACAGCCTTTTGGCCTCACTGGCAGTTTTGGCTGAGCAAGAGCTTCAGGAATTCGACCAAGGCTTTTTCCAAACATATGAAAACCCACAGAATTAATTATTGGGACTGATTATGATGGCTGTTCCTTTTCAATGTAGCTATAAATCGAAAGACATTGCACTACGTTCTGGTTGCTTTGGGCATAATGCTAAAAAAAACTCCCAACAACCCTGACATGTAAAAGTAACAAATGAATCCAAGTAATTGTCATTAGCATAAACCACAATGAAAATAAATAGTTGGAAAACTAAAGATTAGATGTACCACATCAATCCTAGTGGATTAAATTCTTTGCAATGTGACGTTACGATACAATTGGATTATAAGAGGACGATAAATGGCATTTTGTTTTCGTATGTGGCTAATTCTTTCACCAGTTGCATAACAGTAAATCAAGAGTAACGCCACTACAATCAGTGGTGGTATGATGTTGTAAAACACTAGAAGACTAATCAGGCTTCAAAGCAGGGAATCCGGGTAGTCCAACTTTTGTTAAGATTACACAACGGTGCTCCCATACTTCACGCATTGTACCGCACTGCAAAGCCATCCGTTCAACACAAGACCTACATGCCCCTGATGTTTTACTTCATTACTATTTTGAAGGCTTAAATGGATCTTTGGCTTCAGCAGCAGCCTGCACAGGGCAAAGCGGAACACGCTCCCTGTTATCTGCAACCAGGGCTGATGTAGCTGCGTCGGAGCAGAAGGATCACGTGGTGGCCGCAGGCACCACACCTGGCAGCCCTGGAGTAGAAGGTGCCGGAGGGCATTACCCTGTACTAAACATCTCTCCTTACAGGCACCCTTTAATCTCTCAACAGTGAGTCTAGCCCCAGCTGCAACACGTGTTACTTTTCTAAAACTAATGGGCATTCCTCGCTGATTCAAAATGTTTCGCTTCAAAAGAGTGATAGTGTTTAGATAAACTTTTTTTGCAAGATCCTCTTTTGAGGTTGTCAAAACAAAATATTTATTTTAATGTTTTGGCAAATGTGAATTTATTATTTTGTTTCACAGATTTGGTATTTTGTCCTATGATCTGATAATGATTCATTAAAATGTTTTGGTATTTCTGAACTGGAATTTTAGTTTAAAAAATAGACTTTTTGTTCCAATTCAGATTTCAAAATGCCAAAATACCTCACAGAACAATGTTTTTTGGCTAGCCATGGTCTTCAGTAGTGCTAATCTTGTTTTACTGAATGAAACCAAGAGAAGAATAAGCATGAAATTGCACTTGTATCTGGTTTTATCAAGACTGCAAAAAAGTTTCTCTGGCACCTATTGTGTTGCATTATCTTGTAAATTATTCTAATGTACGAATAAATAAAAGATGAGTTGGATTTTTTTTTTAAAAAAGGAAAACAAATCAGTCTAGTTACAAAACCCCTGAGACATTCAGAAAATTGAATCTCAAAAGGAGAAGAAACACCACACTTTTTCAAACCATCTGTAGTACAATAATGTAAAGTCACACGTTAACAGAGGTGGCGATACAAAAAAAAAAAAACATTGTTATTGGTGCAGGATAATTCTCTACCATATTAATTACGTGGCAAAGCAGACACTTTGATCAGTAATTAATTATTGTATGCAAATCATTTTGGGAGAGACAAGTTCCTGTAAAACTGTTCCAGTTAGCTTACTTTTCATAGGTTCTTCACATTTTTCTCGGTGATAGTTTCTCATTATGATGTCAAAATATGCTATAAGCAGTGCAGGACCGGTTTCATTTTCTTTACAAATATATGGTGTATATTAGACTCATTCCTACAGTTCTTATCTCCTACTCCGTTACCACAGTAGCACATATGTCATATGACATGACACCAGCCACATATCTGACATCACTTATACGATTACATGATGTTTCAAGTGCTGAGATTTGAATAACTTGGGGATACCTGACATCCTGGTGTAAAACTGGCACTTTATTCACCTTTTGTCCATTTTTCATTGTCGTCTAGCCTGTTAATCTTTGTTTTTCTGATTTCATATTCATTTCCTTAGAAGCACCAAGATTATGGGTCATGGAAAATAACTTCTGAGTATAATTCCCCTTTTGCCTTTACATGCGTATCCGCCTGCGCACATACCTGCACCCACGATCCCTCGCTTATCTTGGGAAAGTGTTTTCGGTAGAGTTCTACCAGTAAGAACATATTGCCATCTGCTGGCCACTTAAAAAAACATGTGTGATTTGACAAAGCTCAAGTGCGGGCATATAAGATCCTGTAGGTGTGCAATAGCAAAACATTTCAGCAGCAATAACTTGCGTCTACTTTTGATGTGTACTTATTTAATCTTATTTTGTGCAGAATGCCCTCAAGGTACCTATGGGTATGGATGCCGGCAGTTATGCGACTGTCTGAACAACTCCACGTGTGACCACATTACAGGAACATGTTACTGCAGCCCAGGCTGGAAGGGGGCCAGGTGTGATCAAGGTAAAAGCCTAGATGCAATAAAATTATTGTGACTGGGTTCTCTAAAAACAGGATCAGTCTATTAGATGTCATGTCTGTATCAGTTGTTAATTTAATCTGATAAATTATGTGTGTTTAAATAGTCTGTTTTATTAAGTTAGATGTACTCTGTAGATTTTTTTAAATATTAGATGCCTCAGAGATAGTTTATTGGAGCAACACGCTCAGGTGCAGATTGCATGAAATCTTCTAGATTGCAGTGCTGTCCAAAGCTGCTGATAGAGCATGTGCTTTATCTGCTCTGTATGTTTTGCCTAGAGAATGGTCTTACTTTTTCAAATCCATGAAATACCTCTTTCTATAAAGATGATGAATGCTTTTCCTTAAGGCTAGGGTTGTCTTTACATTGGTTTCTGACATAGTTCTATTTTTGCATTATTAGATACAGTTAGAATTAGCAGAAAGATTTAGAAGTGAAATACTGTCCTCTACTCCTGACACATGAGCCTCTGCATAAATTTGTGTTGTATATTTCCGTTGTTTGTATTTCAGCTGGTGTAATTATAGTGGGAAACTTGAACAGCTTAAGCCGTACCAGCACTGCCATCCCTGCTGATTCGTACCAGATAGGGGCTATAGCAGGCATCATCATTCTTGTCCTGGTTGTGCTTTTCCTGCTAGTGCTGTTCATCATTTACAGACACAAGCAGAAAGGGAAAGAAACACATATGCCCGCAGTGACCTATACCCCTGCTATGCGGGTCATCAATGCAGATTACACCATTGCAGGTAAGTGCAAATCTGTGCAGGAATTTTGGAGCAGAAGGGTTTTTTTTTCTCCCCCTCTTGGCTTTGAGCTTTTAACTGAGGTTCAAATCTGGCCCTAACAATGTTTGAATGCGTACGTTGCACCTCTTTGCGTTAGTGAGTGCTACTGCGAGCAGGAGTGTATTTGGTTCCCAGAGAGGGTATCTGAAATTCTGCCCTGAAAGCCTCACTGGAAAGAGAGGCAGGGCAAGCTTTCCCCTCTTGAAGAGGATGAAGGCCGAGACCCACTGCTATCAGTGCCCCTTTCCGGGACAGCGGCTGCTGGGACCCTGCTGGCAGCGCCACTGGCACACCAGACGCGTGGGGTGCTAGGGCAGGCTCATGTGTTTGCCTCTCAGCTGGCAGAGGTGGCTCATCCGAGTGCAGAAGGATGCTGGTCTAGCATCTGTAGTCATTTAGTTTGTTCTGTGTCAGTTTTTTAACCTCTGCATTTAATGCTGTAAAGCTGTTTAACCCTTGTAAAATATGTTTCCTGCTGCGTCACTTGCTTTACTGTGTAACATCCCCAAATGTTTCTTTGCATTAAACAGTGGGAGTATGGAGTTGTCAGAGCAGATAAAGACATCTTTTGACAATAGCAGCAGGGTTAGTGATACAGTAGAAGCAGAACCAGAAAATGTTGTGGCCTTGGTGATAAAAGTGTCTACAATTAGGACAGTGCTACAGCTACAGACAGTGGAAGGAGGCAAAGAGAGCAAGGAACCACGGCAGAAAGGGAAGCCGGCCAGTAACACTTGAGAATGCTCTTTGCTGAAAGTGAAGTCATGGATAGTCACTTACTGCTCTGTTTAGTTGATTTAAATGTATGCAAAACTTTCAGAATTTTGTTCTTCAAGAAACTCTGGACCAAATGCTGAAATTAATGCAGCACTGTCAAGAACATATCTTAGAAAGGGAGATGGCACATCAAGTTGCTCATTCTCTTTTTACTTTCCTTTCAGAAACCATGCCTCATGGTAACGGTGGAAATGCTAACAGTCACTACTTCTCCAACCCTAGTTACCATACTCTAACACAGTGTACCACCCCACCTCATGTCAACAACATGGACAGACTGACCCTGGCAAAGGTAAAACATAAAAATGTAGAGGCTTCTGTGTAGATGAGCCTCTGATATCTTTTACTTTCTTCCCTAATGTCTTGTATTGAATTTATTTTTACTTTCATTGATTATCACCTTGTAGAAATTCGGCAACCCTTAATCATTTTCAGTTCCTGTTATCTGTCTTTCTTTGAAATAGTCAAAAAACAACCAGCTGTTTGTCAATCTTAAAAATGTGGAACCTGGAAAACGAGGCACCGTCATGGACTACACGGGAACGCTGCCTGCAGACTGGAAACACGGTGGTTACCTCAATGAGCTTGGTAAGGAAAAAAAAAGGAGGAAAAGGTGGATGTTACTCATTGTGGTTGTGATGGATTGGAAGGCAGAGTTTTTTTTCCCCGTGTAGGATTGGTTCTCCAGGCAAGTGGTATCAAAAGGGTTCTTCTGTGACAGTATGTTACAGAGTGTAACAAAACCTGTAATGCCAGGCTTGTCAGGCAGTGTGTGAGGATCAGGGTTATGGGTTTGACCTTCCTTTAAGGCGGATCCCCAGAGACCAAATATGACTGGTTGAGAGGAACAGTGAACAGACTGATGCCCGGTGCAGACATGATATGCAAAAGAACACATTATTTTGATAGAAACGTTTGCATATTAGTTTTGTTAGACAGTGGGTATTATGCAATAAGGATCCACTCTGGCAAAATTACACAGATTCATATTAAATCACTGGGAGACTGCATAGTTCTGTGGGTTTTTTCTTTTTTTTTTCTTGTTTTAGTCCCCGTCCTATGGAACTGATGCATGAAAAATAGCTTCTAATCATCTGAGCTGCTTTATATGTTCATTCTAAAAGCATCTTCCGAGTTAAGGCTCCTGCTTGCCAAGAGATAGAGCACTGTTCTTATGAAGGGAAATTCCCCAAGTGGTGAAAGTCCTATGTCCTGCTTTTTGCTGTCTTTTCATCCTTCATGAATTCCAAAAAGGCTTGCACTGGATTGCACTGATCATATCTCTGACCAGTAAAAAGCTTGATAGGGATTTTCAGCGCTAGTATAATTTAGAACATTATTTCACCACCATCATTTCTGGTCCCTACCAGTATCGGGTTCTGGGAATCAGAATCGTAGTTTGCAGCCACTATTTTTTCCACCCCCTCATCCCAAATCTTCAGCTAACCATAGTTCAGCCTAAGAACTTTTTTTCACGAAAGGGTTTCAGTCATAATGTTTTTCAGCTCTACGTTTGCTTAGAGTGTTTGTCCTCGTACTCAAAACTCCTAAGAGATATTAGCTGTGGTTAACCTATAGTAATAAACCATGGAGAGACGGGTTGATTCCAGAGGACTGGATGAATGCTGATGACATGCTGGTTTTCTGAGAGAGAAAATGGGATGACTTGGGTAACTCTGGGCTGGGGACCTTGGCATTAGTCCAGGCAAAAACAACAGAACAGTTGACATGGCATCTAATTAAGGAAGATTTATGGGATGAGAATACAATTTATGCCAATTGTTTTATTAAAAACAGATATTCCCAAATAATGTAATTTTGTTCTTGGATACTGTGAGTTTTGTTGATAGAGATACTGTGTTAGACATAATAGTTTTAGGCTTTTGAAAGGCTTCTAACATAGTACCACGATGCATTCTGATTTAAAAAATTAGCACTTCACAATATCACTTAAAGCTATTTGAATGGATTAGCAACTAGATAAGTGCCAGATCTCCAGAACCAGTTGTCAGTCACTGCTGATTGCTGTTGTTTATATTCGGGTTTATCCTGGGGAAAATGTGTTAATAGCAGACAATTGCATAGCTGTAGACACGGACATAAAGAGCTTTAGGCCATTCCTGTAGGCCAAGGGCCTGAAAAGGAGTGACCCTGAAAAATACGACAGGAGTAATTAACCTTAGGAGTAAAGTACCAAGAGTTGCAGTGAACTTGCTATACCCTGAGGTCTTCGGGTCAGGATGGATGCCTTTCTGGGAGATACAGTTTATTCAGACAAAAAATACGCTTTAATCAAAAAGCAGTTATTGGGCTCATTCAAGAGTAACTGGGTGAAATGTAATGGCCTGTGACATATGTGAGGTCAAAGTAGATAATTTTATAGTCCCTTACGACCTTAAACGCCTGCCTTGCTCAGGGAGCTACTATTTGGAAGTGTGCAAGCACATAGGACCAATGCTTTTGTAACTCTGGACTGGGTAGCTCAGTGCTTGTAAGAGCATTCCTCTGCCAGGGTAGAAATTAACCACAAAGCAATTTTTTAGAAGGTTAGAAGCTGTTATCTAATCATTTTACTTTGATGTTAAAGCTGCTATGTTTCTGGTATCATCATTTTCCTCAGGTGCTTTTGGACTTGATAGGGGATATTTGGGAAAATCCCTGAAAGGTGAGTGTATTTTCTGATGCATTTAAATGAAATAATATAGATATTTAATTTCCTCTTCTAAATCATCTTTGATTTCTGTGAAAGAGAATATAAAATAATTTTGGACTAAATTGTACGTAGTCACTGAAACAATGCATGAAGGGTTGTTTTGGGGGAGTTGTTTTCTTTGAGGGGAGGGATTGCTTTTCTTGCTTGGGGTTTTTTTCTCTTAAAAAAAAAAAAAAAAAAGAAAAGACATTCTAAGCTTCTCATGTCCCGCACATCAACTGTTCCTGTATTACCTGAATCACAACATGGCTCTGTTCTGGCCCATAAAATTTTTTTTTGGCGTGGGGTTTTTTTCTCTTAAAAAAAAAAAAAAAAAAAAAAAGACATTCTAAGCTTCTCATGTCCCGCACATCAACTGTTCCTGTATTACCTGAATCACAACATGGCTCTGTTCTGGCCCATAAAAGGGGATGGCCCCTAACTTCAACCCAGTCAGCCAGGTAGGGATTCATGCTGCCTCCAGAGGAAGGCTTTAGAGGAGATCCAGTTCCTCTTGCAGCTGGCGTGATCCACGTAGGACTGTGCCATGACAAGCCTGCAGTGCTTCATGGAGCTCAGTGCAGGCCTTTGGAAAGTATGAATGTATAGAGAGGAGTGAAAAGCTCAGGAAATTCAGGGAAATGATATTTTGATCTTTCAAGTTACATGATTTTCTCACGAGACTTTATACTGGACTGTACTGGTGTGAGTCACTATTTTTGTTGCATGATTCAGGTATGCCAAGGTGACTCGAATGTCTAGATATCCAAACAGTGAAAAAAGCGTAGCTAAATATAAAAGAATAATGAGGTAAATATGTAGCAGCTGCTACCTGACGTTCCTTGGTTTTGGAGGATTAGGAGAGGCCTAATTTCAAATACGTTGAAGGTGTCACTGAGTTATAAGCCAGTATTTACTGATCAGCTCCTCATAGTCAGTCTCAAGCTGGATATTCAGAACCAACTGAGAAAGTCTCAGCTTTAAAACTGAAACAACATAGAATACCGCAGAATAACACAGAATACAAAGTAACACAGAAAATAACACGGATACTGTAAAATCTCTTTCCAGCATGAGAAAATACTTCTGAAACCAGTTATTTGTCTTTCAGTCAAATCTCAAAATGACAAGCCATCTGACGCGTCCTCCTCAACTCTCCTATGCATAACCTTATGGAAACTTAGGAGAAACTGGTTACTAGTCAGCATGTTTTCATGGCTGCGTACTCAAACTTGGGGCCTTTCCTAGAAATCACCTTACCAGCCTAGCCGTTAGTATGGGGAGCAGTCTACTAGATCAGTTATTTTAATAGTTTCCTGAGTCTAGCACTTGCAAAGGCAAAAGGTATTCTGAAGTGCCAATTAAAACCTGATTCTGCAAATTACCTGTGTTTAATGGGAACTGAAGGTGCTCAGACTTGGCAGTAAGAATTTGCCTATGGCAAGATCAGACCCATAAAAGAGCAGAGAGGTAGGAAGTGGCTCTGTTAATTGCTATGTAAGACAATTTTTGAAGTGTTGCAACTAGTTTCCATTTAAATACTCGTTTATGAGCAGTTTTGTAGAACTTAAAATTACAGAAGGTCCGTATAACAGCACAGTTTTTCAGAAATGAAAACGTATTTTTCTCTGAATAGTAGCAATGCCCATATTTACGTAGCACATTTGAAAGAGCAGTGTGTTTCTCTTCTTTCAGATCTGGTGAAGAACTCAGAATACAATTTAAGTAATTGCTCTTTAAGTAGTTCTGAAAACCCATATGCTACTATAAAAGACCCACCAGCTCTTGTACCAAAAAATTCAGAATGTGGATACGTTGAAATGAAGTCACCAGCACGCAGGGATTCCCCATACGCCGAAATTGCCAACTCGGCTTCAGCCAATAAGAATGTTTATGAAGTTGGTAAGTACAGACTACATTTTTAGATTGAGAAGCTTAAGGACAAGGAGTACAAGACTCTTCTTCTGGATCAGTTTAGTCAAAACACATGGAAAATCACTGAAAAAAGGTTAATGCTTTCAGATTCTGTCTCCTGCTCGAAAGCTATAACAAACTCATTCTTTTGAGATAAAGTGGTGTAATTCCTGAGAAGACAGTTTGAAATACCTTCAGTTCTGTTCTGTAGCCAAAGGCACCTCTAAATTTCCCTAGTCTGGAAGCCTTTCTTTAAACAACAGCCAAAGATAAGCTCAGCATTTAACTGCAGTATTATTCAGCTCTGGATTAGGCTGCGAAATACTGAATACAGCTGGTCTAGGTGTATGTGAGGGATAGAAGAGCTCTGTTTCCTCTCCTTGGTCAGAAAAAGGAGCATCTTCACCCACAAAAGTGTTATTTTGCTGATATGGGTCCTATGTAGTTGCTGCATTATTGAGAAGCCTTTGGGGTTCTTGTGGAATGGTAATTATCCTTATGATCTCTGGACTGAAATAGTGTGCATGTCACGTGTATTAGAGCATATCATTTTCTATTTCTGTTCCCAGTAAGAGATTCCTCTGGAATCCATCAGGATCCCTATTGTGCTACTAAGGATTTTTCTTAAGATCTTGATTAAAAGCCCCAAATTTGGGCCAACATGGCCAGAATTTTGCCTTTTTTAGTTTGTTTGCGCACCAGGAACAGATGCTACTCTGCTTGGTTCTGTCATTAAATACACTCATGGCAGGGCCTTGATGCAGGCTCACAGATGTTATTTGGTGTAAAGCCAAGACACATGAACATCGACTTTTATTTCTACACCTTCATTTCAGGACTCAGCACAACAAAGAATCTATATATTTAAGCAGGCAGGGAGAGAATATTTTGCAATGCAGACTGACCTGAAATACTCTGCTTGCCTTCTGTTTGCCTTTTCTTGCGCTCAGTGTATACGTTCTCTTTTGTCGCAGAACCTACGGTGAGTGTTGTCCAGGGAGCGTTCAGTAACAGTGGACATTTCAGCCAGGATCCTTATGATCTTCCAAAAAACAGCCACATTCCATGTCATTATGACTTGCTACCAGTGCGAGATAGCCCCACGTCCTCTACGAAGGAGGTCGGCAGCGAATGACCCTGAAAGCTAATGTGTAGCACAGTGGGACTCTCGAGGAGAACAGTGGCGTGGTTTATGCCCTTTCCTCTAATTTACCATCATATTTGGCTCCTAATCTGTCCAGTAGACAATTGCTATACATTAACCGGGAATCTCAAGATGAGGTTTGTATTGTATGTACAAGGGACAGATGGACAGATGCTGCATAGGAGATCCTGATCAGTGGGGGTTTTTTTGTTTGTTTTTTGGGATTTTTTTGGCAGCAGTTAATTTTATAGAGACAGGTATGCAGCACATTTACACTGTAATCTGCTGGCTTAAAAATAGTAGTTTGCAGATCAATTCTGGTAACAGCTCTCGTTTCAGCTACTTTAAATATGGACTTCATGTTTGTGATTTACTTTGTCATGTTTCAGAGTAGAAATACTCCCAGGACAGTGCAGTTTACCAAATGCCACTTTGTACAGGTGATCTGATTCCTAGTTACATAGAAGAAAAACTGTGTTGCCAAAACTTACCTTCCATTCTGATCTTTAGTCAAGACATTAAGTAACAAGATCTGATGGGATATAGCAAGGCCCAATACTGCAATTGTTTGGGAAAACTATCATCAGATTTTGGTCTGTTACTGGTTACGGGAATACCTTGCTTTTGAATAGTTTTGAAGATGATAAAAGCATTACATACGTCAGTATTATGTGATGCCTCAAGGTCACTGGGTTCTCTAGGCCCAGCACCAGTCCTCAGCAAATCATTTGCTACGTTTCAAATCCATATGTTGCAGTTCTGACCACTGTTTCTGCCATATACAACCAATAATGCATAACATATCAGTAACTACTTCGTAAAATATGTAAAATAAATCAGTTTATTTTTGTCGGCATGGACTGAGAGTGAAAGGACAAAGATGATGAACGCTGTAAATCTGAAGTGCAAGGAAAGGTTTAAATTTTATAAACAGGTAGTAATATGGACTGTAATATAGGATAAAAATAGTAAAATGTTCTGTTTTTTTTTTCTTCGAAACAACTAAGCAATCTCTGTGCATATTTGCTGAAAAGGAACATTTTCTTTTTTATAGTTAAAAAAGGGAAAAATATGCTTAAGCTGGTCTTTTGCATTGCTAATAATGTGACACATGTACCCCATTCTTCATTAACTTGTATCTCCATTTTTAAACTGTGCATCTATGTTTCTAGTGATCTAGCTTATAATTGTCAAAATACTCTACTGTGTCTTTTTTTTTTTCATTTTTGCATTTTTGCCAACTAGCCTTTATTTTGTCTGGTTAAGGAGCCCTCTGGCAGGGAGGGAGAGGATTAATGTAAAACTAATGTCTGTCATAGGTGGTTAGCAAACACATAATAGCTTAAATTAATGTATTAATTGGAAAAAAAAAACAAAACCCTGCGATGTGTTTTTGTTGAGGATAATAATAAGAAAGCAAAAGAAAAGGAAAGAGCAGACTGTCTTTAAAGTTTAGCTCATTCCATTGACTATGCGGATGGAGCTCATCCTTCCAAAAGGCTCCTTTCTCTGTCTCCTATAGTCAGTTGTGACCTGTACAATTCAGCGGAAATAAAATTTGCCAAGGAATTCATCCCTTGATGCAAAATTGTGCACCAAAAATATCAGCCCCAAAATATAATGGTTTATTTAAACTGGCCCTTCTCTTTCAGTGGAAGTTACCTTTAGAAACCTAACAGTGATAGGCTGAGCTGTGGCAGTATTGGCTGCAACTGCTGATAATATCAGCAGTGCTACCTGCTAGCATGCTGGTAGCACAACTCCAGCAGCCTTTTCCACCTTGCCCGGATGCTAACTCTGCAGCTTGTCATGAGTAGGTTCTCCCAAGGCGTGGTGCATCCCTGGCTGATGGAGAAAGGATATGGGAAATTGCATCGTATGGCATATAATGGGAAGCATAAAGTCCCACTGGTCCTCCCTTCTCTCTGCACCGGGGTCGCGTTTCAGCACATCGCAACTGTGATAGGCTGTATGATGCGAAGGGCAGATGATACGTCAACAGTTCGGTGTATGCGCTCTCCAGCTCAGCACAAGGAGTGCCGCAACGGTTCTTTTATCTGAAAGTCTGGATCGCAATACAGTCTCAGACAAAGAATTATCATTATTATTGTGATGGCGTTGATATATTCCTAGGAAAATTGGAACCCGTTGCCTTTGGAATACTAACTGCATTGCAGAGGATCAACCGTAAGAAAAACTTAAAAAAAAAAAAAAAAAAAGTTTTCATTTGAAAAAGAATCACAGGGCTGAAATGGAAACGCAATGTACTTTGCATTTATTTGTTGTCATTAAAGTGGTGAAAAATGAGAGCGCTGCTTCTGAAGGCATCGCTGTGGGTGTGCTCAAGGCTGCGAACAGATGTGCCTGTATGAAGCGACCCTTGACGGTCTTTGCTCCTGATGGACATAAGCAGTGGCTGCTTTGCAATTCCTTGGGCAATCCTTGCACATCCTTGGAGTAGACGTTTGATCGGCTTTGGACTTTGCGATTATAGAAACTGCCTACAAGATTTCAAAAGCCAACCACCGTTTAATCCCTCCTTAAGACAAAGTATCGACTGCGTTTGTGTGCACATAGGTACATGTAGTGCTACTGATATATACATGTTTGTACTGTGTGAGACAGACATTAAAATAAAACCTTTCTTCTCTGATGCCGTGAATAGAAATTGCTGTACTTAGCAATCGTGGGCTCACAAAAAATTATTTTCTTGCTCTATGTATAATTTGGAGACTGCTAGGTCAAGTATTCTTCATAATATAACCAGTTCTTTTTGATATACATCAGTGAAGAACTGAATAAATGATTTTTAACTTGTCTGAAAATTTCCAGTAGGTCACATATCCTCAAGTGATATATTCAGCCAAATACTCATGAGAACAGATAAGTTTCTGATCATTTTGCCTATTGCTTATGTTCTAAATACACCCACCACCAAAGTCAGCCTTCTGTACGTGGGTACAACTCCTGCTGAGTAGTCAGCGTAAGCAGTCTGCGTATATCAGCGCTGTGTTTGCAAGACATCTAGGTCAAGTTTAAAGATTTGTGAGTTTTCTTTGTGGATGATCATTGACAGATGCTCAGAAGACCGACTGCCTGCCGGGATAATATAGTCTTGTTAAATGATATCGATGTATCATTGGAAAGGAAGAAAAGCACATCGGACTTGAGTTAGCCATCCTCCTATCTCTTGTATGGGGGAGAGGGAGGCTTCTTCTGGAGGAAACTTTGCTCTTAACTCGGCGGAGACTCACAACTCAAACCTCGTGACTGTTACGTAGCCCTTTTTGTAGATCCTAGTGTGCTCTTTAAAGAACACTTCTCAACGTGTATACTGTGTTCTGGTACGAACTTAATGAATAAGCTGATGTAATAACTTAGTAATCACCATCTGTATAGAGGATTGGCTTCACCAGGCTGTGAATGGAGACTCCTTTTGTCTCTGTATGTTCACGTTACAATAGTGAGAAAGACATCATTGAAACTGAGATAGCTATCCCTAGCAATTTATCAGTTTATTAAAGTAGAAAATTGTGCACAAAGTCAATAGCTGATTTTAAAGGATGTAGAGAGGATAAACTTTGAACTTTTAAACAATGTAGGCGTATTAATTCTGGTCACTTAGAAGCATAATGAACCTCACGGCTCTTTACTTTATCAAATTTTTTTTTTTTTAATCACTCTGTTACACATAAACTGTCCTCATCTTGATCTACCCAGAGAACTGCTATTAATTATAATTGCAGATGCGCATGCAGATTACAGGAGAAAGCAGATTTCATTGTACTCGTACTGTCTGCTGAGACAGTCTGCAAAGTCAAGTTAATATTGAAGTGAAGTTAGAATGAAAAATCAAAAGTGGGGAATGTGTTATTTAAAATGTATTGGATTTTCAAAGTACTGTGACTAAAACTGAATTTCTTATTAGGTGTGTTTCCAAATAACAATCCCTACATTGCAGCTCTAAAATCCAGACTGAAGAATACAGAAGCTAATTTTGACGAAAATGCTTTATATTAAAGATTGTATAATACAGTAGTTTAAATGACTGAAAATGAATGGGTGTGTGTTTATTAATTACTGTACAGAAAATCTTGCCATGTTTGGTACACTTATACTAGTGCTAGAGCACTGGACCTAACTCTTCTATTTTCAGTTTTCTAGCCCACAAGACTTCACTTTGATATGATTGAATTGTAATATATTTTTTAAAGAAAACCTACCAAGTATGTCTGGCTTTTTTTTTCTTAGCTGTAACAAAAAAAGTGTTTTGTTGTTAAAATATTTTTATTTTCCAAAGATGACTGATGTTCATCATTTTGCCCTTCATTACCATTTATTTCACTTCCCATACTTGTAGGTTAATGTAATAAACTTTCTAATGAAAGATGGAAAATGCTGTGAATTTTTTTGCTTTGTTTTCCATTCTCTCAGGATGCATATTGAAGTAGCATTGGAAATGTAAGGAATGTTTTCTTTGCACATACACTGGACCAGTAAGTAATGTATGTTACTTTCCTTCTTCTAAAAAGTAAGACCTTTGCGATGCTCTGCAGAAAATCAAAGCTGATTTTGAATTTGAAACTCAAGTCCTGCTTAGACCTTTGAACAAACTGAGTGAGTTACCTTCAATGGGACAGCCAGTTTTCTATAGGAAGAGCATTTTCTATCCACAAACAACAACAAAAAAGAAAATGCCTTAGCTATACGTTCGTGTATTTAAAAATGACGGGATTCTGCAACATTTGTGTGATTTAAATTACCTCATTAGCATCTTATTTTTGTTATCAGCATTTCTACTGCAAATCGGCCGAAACAAAGCTGACCTCGACGGCATTTCAAGGTTAATTTTTCACACTGATCGACTCTACTTGGACAACTGTCCTATTTAGTACAGCCTCTGGCTCTTCCCTTCTCATCAACATTAATTATCAGAGACAATGCAAGGGAAATTCTATTTCCATTCATGCTACTCTTCCCCTAAATCCCTACCATGGCAACAATAATGGTGTGTAGGATTTTGCTGCACATAAACTTCATTTTTAAATGAAAACTGGGAAAGATACGCTTTGAAAACTGCAGCAACACAAAGAAACCGACTGGATACAAACTTTTCCTAGCGGTGTGTTTATTTTATTGCCCTGGAGTTAGTGACTGATATATGGTCTATGCGACATGTGAACATCAAGGGCCATCCTTCAAATTAGCACTGTCACAAGCCTGTGAAACCATCAGCATTAACGGATGGCAATGCAGAAGGTATGTTACTCTCTTCAGGAGACTACGAGCAATTTCTGTGCACTGCTAAGGTTAAAGCCTGCCGTTTTCATAGGATTGCTTGGAATGGACCAGTACATGGCTTGCACTGCCCAGATTTCTTTCATTATTCATTTCAATGTTTCCCAAGTTTGAGTCAAGAGCTGAATTTGGATCCGAAGGACTGTGATGTCTCTGTTGGCATAACAGAAACATGAAATCTTATTTTTCTTATGTAAAACGTCAGTGTACACTGTGGAGTTTGAAAACATACCTGCCCTATGAAGTTACTGCACTGATGTAGTCATGTGGGTTATTTCAAAATAAGTGTACAAATCCTAACTCCAGGTAATTTGTAGATGACTATTAGAAACTAGTTGAATAAATTGTGAATTTGTCACTAACTTCAGAAAATTTGAAAAATAAAGATATCGTTTATACAGCCACATTAATAGTTTATAAAATGTGTCCTGAGTACTGAAGATGCATTTCGTAAGCTATTAATGTACTACTTAGTGTAGTCACCACTTACTCAGTATTTAGGCTTCAGGCTGCAGTCTCGGGGGTCATGAAATGGTTTCTCTCTTCTATTTTGTATTATGCAGCTGAATGCATAAAGGATATATTTTATCATTATTTGAAGTGATCTGTACTGACTGCTCTTAGATACCTTATAATACTACATGGTTGATTAAAGTTTCCTGGGACAATAATTCCTGTACTTTTGATACTTAGGGAAATTAGTATGTAAACCAAAAGGTCATACCTTTCTGAAGCAGGCCCTAGTTGAATGC